GATGAATGTCATTATATTGTATACCTAAAATGTACCAATGATTAGAATGAATAATCGAAAATGTAAAATAGGAAGAAAAGGTCCAAAGGGGTAGGGGTAGCGGGAGGGGCAGGGGAAAGGAAAGAAGGGAAAGGAAAAATAATGAGGAATGGAAAAAATGGAAATAAAGTCTTTGTAAATAGTGAAGGGTGGAGGGGGTGAAGGGAGGGCTAGGAATGGGGAATAAATAAGAACCAAGATGCTTTATGTAAAGGTACAATTCCCAATGAGAAATGTAATTGTGTTGTATACCTACAATGTACCAATAAAATAATTTAATAAAAAAAAATTGACATTACCTTTATCATAAAGATAATTGTCATCCCTTAAAAAAAAATTAAAGAAGTGTTCCATGAAGAATTTAATGACAAATTTCCAAAGCCTAATTATAGATGAGAGATATAGTTTGAAATTAAATGTATAGGAAACATCTATTACATTTATATATGAAATTATGCAAAATAATGTTTGTATTTTTAAAGTGTTTGGTATGTCAGATATGAAATTAGGTAAGATGCTATTTTAAAATGTGTGTGATCTTTTCAAAACATCACTTCTTACTGTTCAAATTTAATGTGGCCCCATTTTTTAATGCCCCAAATTTAATGCAGCCCCATTGTGTGGGTCATTCTGGCCCCAGCTGCCCTGTGCCTCTCAGAAGGGTCCATCTACTCCTCACCCTTTGTGACCTGGCTCAGGTAAGTACTGTCTTCTTTGTGGATTCTTTGACTCACGGCTTAACCTTGCTTTGTATTTGCATCCAGAAGCACTTATCAAACTACATGGTGTTTTTCATTTGTGAATCTATCTTCCTCATCAGATCATAAACTTATCTCCTGCCTTTTATATTTCTAGCTCTCATTCGACCCTGTCATGTAGTAGATAACTCAGTAAATATTAGCTGAGAGAACGTTCTCTGACTCTATCTACTAAAGGGTCATATTTGTAAACTCATATATTTAGTGCTGTTCTGGGCTTTATTAAAGAAATATTAGAAAATTCCAGATATTAGGAAGGATTGGAGAGTGTCCATCAAGAAGAACAAAATAATTTTATTGCTTGACTTTGAGAAAAAGTTATAGAAATGTAGGGAAAACTTTTTAGTGAAAAGAAATTAGGAAGGGAGCTGGGGATTTAGCTCAGTGGCATCATGCTTGCCTCGCAAGCGCAATGTCCTGAGTTCGGTCCCTGGTACTTAAAAAAAAAAAAAAGAAATTAGGAAGGTAATTTAATAAAAGATCAGTTGTTATAGAAAGGTTAGTGTTCTTTCTATGAAAAGTAGGCTTATCATAGTTGAAGAAATAAGTTCAGCATAAACACCTTTCTGGGCAGTTGTAGAGAGACACTGGAAGAGGTTGCTGATGATTTGAGGGGAAATTTGTTAATCCCTGCAAGCTACAAAGGGAGAGGAATAGGAGTAGTTGATGCCTGGTGAGTTCTTAACTCCTCATATTTTTTGTAGAAAAATTTGGGAAATTTCATAACTATCACCAAACTAATAAATTTGAGATTTCCCCAAACCCATCTATACTTACCAGGGGCGGCAGTTGTTGAGGCTGGGGAAGTAGGATTGGAGGAAAAACTGCAGGTACTTGTGGTGGGTAAAAGTTAAATCTCTAAAAAGAACGTGATGTTAGTGATTTCAGACAACTGTAAAAAATTTTAAAATAATGTGTCATTTGAAAATGCAACTAGAAGTTTACCTGTGCACTGGAACTTTCTCCAGATTGGTCAAGCTTGTAAAAATAATAATGGCAACAAGGTCAAACAGCATAGGGCAATATATTATCCATTAAAGAGATTTGGTTTTAAATGAGAATAGGTTGCAAGCCTCTATTGAGCATTCTGCCTGCCAGTGAGGTAGCTTCACCTCTGAAATAAAAAGCAGTTGAATATCTAATAGGGAAAAGTCAAATTTATTTTGTCTAATTTAGAAAACAAAGTACTTTTTACCTTAAATGTATATCCAAAGAATGCTCTTATTTACATTTCTTAAGATCAATTACATAGTCTATCAGTAGTGTTCTCAGTTTAGTTTTCAGCGTTTGTAAGTTCAAAATGAAGGGAGTATGGGAGTATAAACTTAAATTTTGTATACCCAAACACAACTTTGGAAAGATCACTCCTTCCAAAGCTCTTTGGTTACAGAATATGCAGAGGAGAGTGTTTTTTGCCTAGTTCATGCCCTACATACATGTGTAGACTACAATAAACACAGATTGGATTTATAGATCTAATTTATATAGATTGGGAAGCATGAATGGCAAAAGGTCTATGAAGTTGAAATGAATGGTACTTTAGGATTACTATACTTCATATATGCTAAATTGCTCACATTGTAAAATGGATCATTGTTTCATATATCACCAAAAAAGAAAAACAATCCTGTTAAACTGACACAATACTTTATCACATCACGTTGTGGGACACATCTCAATTTCAGAGATATTTAAAATATGCAAAAGCCAATAGGAGAATTAAGGAAATATATTACAACCTTTTTAGGAGCATAAAGAAAAGACCACATGAGTTGTCTGGAGCTCTAGACAATTGGCAATACTTGTCAGGGCTGGGAGTGTAAGTGGTAGAGCACTTGCCTAGCATGTGTGAGGCCCTGGGCTTGACTCCCAGCATTGGAAACAATAAAACCAAACAGAACCTGTCAACTTTGGAAAAAAGGATTGTGGTTTAAAGAAACAAATTAGGTTTGGTATCCAGGGGTATGATATATGAATATAACTTGTTATCCAAATCTGGTTTTTAGAATTTGGACTTTTAAAGACAACTATATGTAATCCTTCTAGAATTTATCTGTGTACTGGACTCAAATATAACTCAGGGACAAATATTCTTTTTACATTCACTAATAACCAGTGTAGGTAGTCTTAAATATTCCTTTCTGTAAAATCAAATCTAAAAGGAAGTAGATAGTCCTTTAGTGTCAGAGCATTTGTGCAGAGGCTTTTAAGAAAACCTGAGCTGGTTTAGGGCAAGGGTGTTATAAATGAAATTCAGTTCAAATGCTTAATTTAAATTGTGGGCACTGCAGAATATTTGTTATATATTGCTAAGTTTGCTGAGAGCTTTCTGTGTATAAGTTAAGACTTAAGTACTTAAGATGCATTTGTATCATGTCCATATCACTCTGGAGTATAGACAGGGAAGTAATTGGTTAGCTCCTTGCCCAAGGTTGTGCAGATAGGAAAGGGCTCGTGGAGCTGGGATCTGTGTTGGGCAGAGCTTTGAATGAGGAAGAGTGAACTCCTGATCCCATGACTTTCTTGGACTCCACTTTCCTCTTTGCATGAAATGAAAAGATATGGGAAATGCTTTCTAAGCCAGAACTCTGAAGACTCCAAATGTGAAATTGAGCTGGCCACCAAGGAGCGAGTACTCACAGGGATAGGCAGGGCACACACAGCGCTCAGAAGGCCAGCCAAGATGAGACATTTCATTCTGAAGGGAGAGCCTAGAATTAAAGGTTAGGAGATTACTTCTAGTTTTCTGCTAAGTCTTAATTTCCATTGTAACTAGATTGTTGAGGTATAGATACTCAGTAGTGGTCAGGCTGAATCCTGGTTCCAGATTCAGATTTTGTAAGCCTAAAAGAGAGCTTTAAAACACTTTAGACCAGACCTGCGCTCTTTTATTCATAACATTTTTCACTTCCTCTGACTCTTTCTTATAACCTCACAGTTCAGCCAATATCTCTTTGGCCCTTGATGTTATTTAAGTTTGTCATCTCTATTCACAAATATTTAATGTTGCTCAATGTTTATTGGGATTAATCATCACTGGCTTAAATGAGAGGGTAGTTTTAATCTAATACACACAAAAAATCCACTTGAAGCTTGTGTCACCTTGAGACTACATACAATCTGGATGCTGTTGTTGGCAATTACAGTTTCTCAGGAAGGAGAAAGGAGATCATGTAAGGCATAATGGATTGGTAGAAGATAAGCATAATATGAGTAAATTCAATCGAGCAACTCAATATGGTCTTTACTGGCTGGTTGTTCTGAAAGTAAACTTTTTACATTTTTAAAAGTCATATTTAATTCAAATTAACTTACCTTGAAAGTATCAACTCAAATCATTGTACTCTGGAATTTGATTTTGGGAGAAAAACAATTTTATCACATTCTTATTAAGATATTTCAAGCATCTGAGGCAAGTTACATCAATTTATAGATAAATCCTTTTCAAGCTGTTTCATGTATATTTAAAACTCAGTTCTGATTCGCTATTTTACTTCACTTGAATTTAGGTAATTTAACCCCTCCTTCTTCTTTTTCATGTTTTCCCCAAGTACTGTATTTTTCTTCCTTTGGGATTCAAACTCTTAAAATTCTTTCTTCATTTCTTAAGTCTACCAGGTAGAAATCATATCTATCTATCTATGTATAGGAGATAGATAATATATATATATATATCTCATTATATATATATATATATATATATATATATCTCGTTAATTACCTTTGCTTCACACGGCCCTTGGAGCAACACATTCAGGAAGCAGAGCACTCTCTCAGGATCTCTGCACGCATCTACTATTTAAGCCATGTAACTAATGCCTTCATGGGCACGGGCAAGATGAGTCATATAGTTCAAAGGTGAACTAGACCTACCCTTGAGCCTACCCTTGGTTTCAGGCTGGAAAGTCCAACTTCTGAAGTATTTCAATTACACAGAGATAGACTTAAGTCCCAATTATTAAAATAATAACCCCTTGGTTGGGGTCAGAGTAGTTCTTTATCCCAACCAACTAATAATTAAAAATTGTAACCACTAAGAATATTGAAGTATGCCCATAATATGTCATCCAGGGATAAAACTGATAGAGAAATTTGAAGTTTGAAATTTTTTATTATTAAATATTTTCCTTGTAAGTTGAAAATTATTTTTAAATAAAAATTTTGTAGTAACTAGTTAATATTAAAATCACTTCTCCTTATTCTACAACATTTTAAAGTCGCTTGAGGCTAAAAGATAATTTAAGTTTAATAGCTCCAATTATGGTTTCTAATTAGAGAAACAATTTCTAATTTCTTAATTTCTGAAACAATTTGTAAAACTTGGGTTCTAATTGGTTAAATCCTTTTCAGCTACATATTATGAAATATCAAATATTTCTAAAACTATTTTTGTAGTTGGAAAAAATTACAAATTAATTTTGATTAATCAAATTGAACTTAATTATTAATGATTTAATGTGGTTGTGGTTAACAGCAAAAGACTTAAGGAGCTGAGATAAAAATATCAGTGATAATTAGATTGAAACCTTATATTTCAGATAGGAAAATATGTTTTTAAAAATACCTGTTTCAGGCTGGGAATTTAGCTCAGTGGTTCCGCCACATGCCTCGAAAGCGCAAGGTCCTGAGTTTGAACCCCGGTACCAAAAAACCCCAACAGAACCCGTTTCTTTTAAATATTATAAGTGGAATGAATTGGATGAGTTTTTTCTTTTTTTATTGCTTTGCTTCAGAGCTTAGAAAACTCTATCTGGTGCCATTTGTATTTTTGTGACCTAGCTTTCACTGTAATAGTTACTAAAGAAGATCTCAAGTCAAACACAAATTTTCTACTTTTTTTTTTTTTTTTTTTGGTACTGGGGATTGAATGCATGACCTTGTGCTTGTGAGGCAGGCGTGGTGCCACTGAGCTAAATCCCCAGCCCTCTGCAATACAGTTTTTATTTTTTGGTACCAGGCATTGAACTCCAGTCCTTGTGCTTGCGGGGCAGGCGGAGGAACCACTGAGCTAAATCCCTGGCCCTGCAATACATTTCTGACCATCAGTTTGTAGCAGTAATGCTTATGTCTCACCACATTGGCCATCATGACACCTATTGTTCTCCACCTGCCTAATTCACCTTGCTGTGCTTTTATTTTCGAAAAATGAAATGTATAGAAATTTTGCAGAGCTTCTTCTCAACGAACACACAGAACTGCACAAAAGCTAGAACTAATTGGATCAAGCCATGGATAATCATCTGCATTTTAAATTGAGTTTGGCTAAAAAGCACTTGAATTCATTTTTTGTTTGAACTTAACATAACAACAAACAAAATTCATGAGCAGGTATTAAGAGCTGTCTCATGTTTCTCCAGCTACCCTCACTTTCTCTCCAAGGTAGTAAGGTCTAGGAAGCATAACTGTAATTTGATTTGAACTGTGAGTCCTGTTTTGATCTTTCATGAAGGTTTATTTAAATTTGTTTATTTAAATAAATGATGAAATAAACATGAATAGACATTTGGATTTTTATGGATTCTTTATTAGGATATTAAGATATTGAAAATAATACATACTAATCACAAAAGAGCAATATTAAATTCATCAAGTGTGCATGATGTTATAGATGATGTGAACTGTTTTTTCAAGTTTTATAATTAATAATTATCTTACAAATTGATACAGAGAGTGAAATTACTATGAGTTAAATTGCTGTTCACAAACAGTATACAGTCTTTCGTATATACTGAGTTAAAAGATTTATTTCCTAAGTTAATGTTAATTGCCTGGTACTTGTATATTGTTACCAAGCACTTACTCTCATTTTCTTCTCATACATGCAGACATTTTGCTATATATAAATCTACCAGTGTCATGGTTGTATATATTTCAGAAGTGGTTAGAACAGAGGAAGATGCTTGAAAGTTTGAGTTCCTTCAAATCTTAATTCAGAACAGGAGATTTTCATCTATGTCTTCTGTAAAAAACAAAAACAAAACAAAATATTACTTTTAGAAAGTCAAAGAAGTGGTAGCATGAACAAACTGTTAGAACTAGGGGATCAGAGAAGACTTCTAATACGTCGGTACGGTGGTGACTCAACCCTGGTGGGCACCGGCATTACTCATGATCTTTAAAAAATGTATATTCTTGGGCCTTATCCCTGGTCTCTGGAAGTAGAATCTCTAGGGGTCGACTAATGACATGTAGACAAATAGACATCCCTGCAGGTACTGCTGGTGCAAGGTTGAGAACCACTGACAGAAAGGACAGGTTAAGAGAAAGCCCAGCCAAATATGCTCATATAAGGGCAGCTAAAATACAACAGAAAAAGGCAAAGTATAGTGCTAGTTCAATTCAGTAACTTGTAGAAGAACTTGCTGCCATCCTATGGAAGATGACAGCATCCTCTGGGGAACATTAGACTACTTCTTACAGCATGGCTCACCCAAATGTACTTGGATGTGTTTTGTCAACTGTTAAACAAATACTTATAGCAGGTTAATTTGAGGCATACTAAACAACTACTCTGTTTCAGTAGCAGGTAATTTTACTGGCCAATATAATTATCTAACCAAAACAGTGGAAAGATTATAGACTTTGATATATTTCTTTTGAGTACTGGCTTCATTATTAAAATGGGCATACTCATTTCATTACTTTTAAGTTTTTTGAGAAACATAAGGCTTTATTAGGCAAACTTTGAAGTTCACACTCAAAGAAAATGGAGATGGGCCCTCAAGAGAGAGGTGCCTCGTTACTTACAAGTTTATATTTGAATACATACTTTTTGGCTGTTTTTGAGCTGTCCTGTTGACCTAAGGCTAATTCCTCTACCTGTGCTCAAGATCGCTTCTGACCTCAGGATTCTCTTTCTAGCCCCCACCCCCATATTCTTAACCTTTCCTTTTTGACTAGACCCCTTCCCCTTGGCATTTAAATACTGTAAGTCCAACCTCTAGAACAGTGCCTATTGTAAACCATCAGTAAAGTGGATGTTGAGCGAGTGACTAGGTGAGTGGATGAAGGAATGAATACATGAACTGCTCAAGCCTCTTTCATTCTAAAAAATGCTTCCTGCAACCCTCACTCTTTCCTGTCTTCAAGCATACACTCTGTCCTTTCTCATCTTCCATTCTTTCTCAGCCTGTAGAATCTGGTTTCTAACCTGACCACTCCACCATAACTACTCTTAGCAAAGACATCAGGTGTCTTATTTCCACATTGAAAGAGCATTCTCATTCTTTCATCCTCCTTGGTATTGCAGCAGCATTTGGCACTGTCAGTCTCTTCCTCCTCTTTGAAATATCTCCTTTGGCATGCGACTCTCCTGGTTGCCTTCCTTCATTTCTGGAGAGACTCCCCATTCCCTTAGTAAACTCCTTCCTCTTGTATCCATTGTCTAGCTGCTGCTGTTCCTGGGTGTTTTGTATTAGACCTTTTTTCATGCAAGTTCTCTTTGGGAGAATCAGTTCCCTTCCCTCATGTACATTACTCTCTGTATGTTCACAATTCCCAGATATATATTTCATTTCCAAAACTCTGCCTTGAAATGCAGACCCACATTATACTTTTTTTCTGTTTATCTGTCAACTTTCTGATGTCCCTATCCCACATTCTCCATGGAACCTTGCCTCCTTTTTTTTTTCTTTTGGTACCGGGGATTGAACTCGGGTCCTTGCGCTTGCGCAGCAGGCGGCAAAACCACTGAGCTAAATCCCCCGTCCT